AGTGTAGGGAACAGAGCTGTTGCCTGCCTGAAAAAGAAAAAAAGAGAAATGAATTCCATTTGTCATCTGCCTAGGACTGAGTGATCTAGCTACTAGAACCAGGAGTGGTCCCAGGTCAAAATCAGAGAAGTAGAAAGCTTAACTACAAATAAGCTTCAAATGTAATATAAATTATTTACTTAAATGATAAATAAGAAATGTATTTCTTGCAGTTACAGGGTCAATATTGCCGAAAATGACACAAAAAATGTAATTGTGTGTGTTGCATAATTATAAGTTGAATTCACAGCCTTGCCAGTCTCTTATGTAGAAGTTAGGGAATGAGAACCTGAGACTTGGAATTGGGAAATCTGGGTGGACTCAGATGAAGCTGAGAATCCTGAACCCTTGAGTCATTCTGTGCTTCCTTTGCCAATGGAAGCAGCTTGCCTGTTATGTCTAAGAAGGCTCACTTTCCCTCGCTTAAGGACCCTGTGATAAGATTGCCACCAAAACAATGGCAAGAGTTTGCTGCATTACATTGTAGAAACCTGGAGAATATGTGCATGAATAGATTCTTAGGGTGTTAGACCAAGGAAGAAGAATAGAACTTAGTTAGCATTAGGTCAAATTTATTGATTCAGATGCACTGATCAGAGATTCTGGATTCAATGTGTTGATTTGTGCAGGGGTAAGGGGCTCTATTGTTTACTTAGCTGCTTGAGTGGAACTGGGACTCAATGGTGACCTATATTTAAAGATACTGAGATGCCAGAACATCCTTGGTATGTTGTAGGGGATAGGATAAAAAGGCTTAAGGGGATGTTGGAATAGATTTCTTGTGGACAAATCACACACCCACCCACCCACTACATTCTCCAAGGGGGTCCAGAGGACATTCCTTTCACTATGACACTAGGAAATTCATTAGTGAGGGGACCACTGCTATCCTTGAAGACTCAGTGGTGGCTCTCCTCTGTTGGCCACATACGAAGATAAGAGATGTCACCGCTGAGATAGGCTCCTTGATCCACAGGGGATAATGGGATCCAAGAATAGCAGAGGCCAAGTGGTAGCATCCAACTGCCAAAGGCAGAGCAGGGCACATATACTGTAACAGGCAGTAGGATGGTGGGCATCACAGTGTTTTGACTCACAGGAATCTTGGCATTGGCTAGTTGTCACAGTGTCCGTAGGACTGAAAGAGATGGGAATGCTACTGAAAGACTGTGTGCTCCATATAACAAGGGAAACTCTATATCTGGCTTCCAGAAGCTGATTTGAGTCACCACAGTGAAAAGCCAGAATTTCTTGTCCCATTTTTAGACCTAGGATTAACCCAGATCCTCTTCTTTGAAAGGATGGGTGGGTCCCCTTAAAGAAAGACTCTTTACAAATGTATTCTGTAAACCATCCTGTAAGCCTTCCCTAGAAGGACCTCTGACTGTTACTAGAGTGAACCACCATAGCCCACAGTCAAAGTCAGGGCAGACAGCGCTCAGGGCCCAAGTCCAGATCACAGAGCACACAGCCTGTGGCTACTTCCCTGCTTCCTAAATAGAATAGATGCACTTGGCAACCAGCAAAATCTCAGCGTCCGCTCTGTGACACAAAGTGGAAGCCCCTGGAACTTCCTTTCCAACCAGGAGGGTAAAATATCTGCTGCCAGTTTTCTCACAAATAATTGAAAGAGAATTCATCTTGCCAATGGGAAGATTCGCTTTCTTAGAAGGCAGCACAGCCTAGTCTCACAGGAGGAAAGCAGTTGGCCCCTTTTATATGCCCTTGGCCCTATTCCTTTCAAAATAATAATGTACCATTATTGTGCTAAGGAGCATTTAATGGCTTCCTGATCCAGATCAACATGAAATTATGCAGCAAGTCCTTATTTAACACCGTGGATAGGTTCTTGGAAATTGACTTTAAGTGAGACAACGTATAACAAAACCAATTTAGCATAGGCTAATTGATATAGACAAGAGGTAAGCTCCTATGGCGTATTTCTGGTTACAAAAACATTACCGACCTTCTAAATAAAGACCCCCAAACACTTCTATTCATAAACATTAATATAAATGTGAACTATGGGTGCATTTAAGAAAGATTAATAATGAGATAATGATTTACTCAGGGTTGCGAGGGGCTGAACCCTATCTCAGCAGCTCAGAGCACGAGGCGGGAACCGACCCTGACCATCTCAGGGCGTACTCACACACACCCACAGTCACCCACACTGGGACCATGCAGACATGCCATTTCCCCTCACTGGTGCACATCTTCACGCATCTTCTGGTTTCTAGAGAAAACCAGAGCACCCGGAGAAAACCCACGCAGACGCCAGGAGAATGTACAAACTCCACACAGACAGTGGTCCTGGCTGGAGGTGATTTCTTTTTTTCTCATCAATGTTATAACAAAATCACATTGAACGTGACAGCTTTATTCAAGTATTTGCTGTAGCTTCCCCCCTCCCTTATTCGCAAATGTCCCCTCTAGTGGGGAGGGGTGCAGCTCTCAGTTCATCTTGCCACGTTACATCCCTAATCTGTAGATTCACTGATGCATTGACTCATTCTTTCCTCATCCGGCAAGCTCTCTGTATACTTGGCTCACTGTATACTTGGCCTGTGCTGGACACTGGGGAGGAGATGAGGAAGCCATGCTCTATGTGCTCAAGAAAGTGGCCCAGGGAGGACGGATAGGGAAGCAATTTCAATGCAATAAATTTTACTATTGAAGAGTATTCAGGGAAAAGAGAGCCAAGGAAAGCTCCTGGACAAAGTACTTTCTAAACTAAATCTCAGAGAGCCAGTAGGTGTTGGCCTGGAAGGACAACAGACATGGGGAATCCACATGGAGGGAACAGGGTGTGGGAAGGCACGAGGACCAGAGAGAGCACAGCACAGTCAGGAGCAGGAGCAAGCTTGGCACAGCTGCGTGCTGTGTGGGGAGTGGAGACGCGGGAGGGGGAGCCTGAGAGGCTTGTAAGGGCCACACCACCAGTCTTTCCTGGCCAGCTGAGAAGCTTGGAAATAGTGCAACCCAGGCTTGGCCACGGTAGAGCAGGCCTGTATTGCTTTCTGACAAACAGACACTTTACAGGTGGAGGGGAAGGGAACAGCACATACCCACCAGGGGCCAGAGGATGAGCCTTTTGGAAAGTCCTTCTGGTTCTCCTTTTCTGTCTCACAGGCTGGAGTGCAGTGGTGCAATTATAGCTCACTGTAGCCTTGAACTTCTGGACTCAAGCAGTCCTTCCCTCCTTGGCCTCCCAAAGTGCTGGGATTACAGGCTTGAGCCACTGCACCTGGCCCTTCCTGGGGCTTCTATCCAAATACAAGGTTTGTGCAGGGACCACCTGTAGGAAACCGCCACCTTGTGGGTAATGCAGGAATTACAGATCTAAAAATGTTCCTTATTTCTCAATTCAGTACATGTTTCCTAGTAATTACAAGCCAAAGTGCTGGGATAAGGAGCCATCTATCATGTGGAGAGAATAGAAATGCATACAGAAGTCACTGAATGTTCAGAGGTATGCCTGAAGCAATGGGTTGGTGAGGGAGGTCATGGAAAGCTTCAGAGATGACACCTGCATTGGGTCAGGTAAAAAGTGGTCTTTAGAGGCCATATTCATTTTCCATCCTGCAGCACAGAATAGGAAGGTACTCCCTCAAGGTTGCACAGCTCTTCACGGCAGACCTGGGGCAAGCACCCAAGTTTCTGGGTATCTCAGCCCAGAGCTCTTTCTTGTACATGGTTGGCCTTGAGTTTAAATGGATCCCACTCCTGGTGCTCTAGAAATGGCCTTAGCAGAATCTGATCTTCTGCTCCTGCTTGTTTCTAGGCCTCATCATGGTAATTTGTCACAGCCAGCTTTCTGGTGCAGTGATCTGCATTCTGTCTGTGTGAAATTGCAAAACCCTGTAACTCTCCCTAGGGTGGACACTGTACTGAAGCCAGGATCTTGTCCTCCCTGGGAAGAAGAAACAAGGTGTGTCCCAAGAGCATTTATCCTCAGGGACTAGCATAGTCCTTGGTACATAGGTACTTTGTAAATATTTGCGGTATGAATGAATGAGTGAAGACAGGGGAGGTGGATAGGCCAGAGAGGTCAGTCCCAGCTCTCCTGTGGGCTCATCCAGAATTGAGTCTTTTCTAGAATAGTCTGGAAAGATTAGCTGGGGACAGATCACAAAGGTCGCTGAATGCCCAGCTAAAAAGATTCACTTTTTTTCTGCTAGCAGAGGGAAAGCAAACCTGTTAGAGAACAGCGAAGGAGCAGGATCAGAATATAGGTTGGTTTCATTCCTCATCAAAGAGAGAAAAATAGTCCCAAGTCAAAAGTCATGTCTCTTCCAGAAAGCCATTGATATTACTTTGTGAAACCCAAAATATTGAAGACAGGTTTCAATCAATTTAGAAAGTTTATTTTGCCAGGGTCAAGGACACGCCTATGACACAGCCTCAGGAGGTCCTTGTGACATGTGCCCAAGGTGGCCGGGCACAGGTTGGTTTTATGCATTTTAGGGAGAGATGCGATATCAATCAGTACATGTAAATGTACATTGGTTCAGTCTGGTATGGTGAGACAATCGAAGTGGGAGCTTCCAGGTCATAGGTAGATGAGAGACAAATGGTTGCAATCTGTTGAGTCTCTGATTAGCCTTTCCCTGAATGCACAGTTTACATGTGAGAGGAGGGTAGAGGAATTGTCACTTATCCCTTAGTCTGGCTCAGTGAATCTGCATTTTTACATAAACAGTAGGGCAGAGGGAGCAATCAGATGTGCATTTGTCTCAGGGGAGCAAAGGGGTAACTTTGAGTCCTGCCTGTCCTTTGTCCTGCACCTGTGAAGACAAGCTATCAATTTACATAGCCAAGGTGAAATTCAACAGAACTGTTTTAGGACAAAGACCTTGAGGCCCACAAAGAATTTCCTTGTGGGCAAGTTATGAGGAAAGTGTATAGCTTTTTTTTTTTTTAATTAAAGCTTTGTAGCGATCTTATTTCGAAATAAAATGAGAAGTAGGTTTGCCTGACTTAGTTCCCAGCTTGACTTTTCCCTTTAGCTTAGTGAGGGTCCAAGAATTATTTTCCTTACAAAACTTAATGAAGAAATTGCACTAGGTCTTCTAGATATCTGAGTTCTTTTGTTTCTAAATTTAATAATTAAACCATACCTCTGGAGAATAACTAGAGGCTGTCCTGTGATAAGCTCACAGCACGCAGGAAACAAGCACAACCTTTGTGATACACTGTTGAATTTCCTTCTGAGACATCACCCAGGCTGTGAACCCGGCTACATCCTGGGCCTCAGTACAGTAACTCTTCCTAACTTGGGTCTGGTGTAGTCGGTAATCTCTTTCCTCACTGCCAACTGCAGCACCATTGCATAACTCCTGGAAATAAGCCTCTGCTGGAGGACTCCGTTCTATACAATGTTTTTATCGGTAACCTAGATGAACTCAGAGAGTATTCAAATGCCCCCAAAGAAATTAATCTACATTGGATAGGAAGAGAACTATTCAACAAGTCTTGTGAAGCTTAGCATGATGAAGAGAAATCACATGCTGAAATGTTCTGGAGATAAATGTGGCGTTCTATGTTTGAGTTTGACATAACCGTGAGAAAGCCCAATAGAGGGCAAATGAAATCTATCATGCTAGTTTCAAAACGGTCCAAGTACAGAGCATGGCAGCCCCTCAGAAGTGAGTCCTTACTACTGTGAACCAACTTTTCCTGAATTTAAGCATTTTAAAACCCATGTCATTGCTTTTCTTCCCACTTTAAGGTAGCTGCCTTCCCGATGTCCCCAGAGCAGTAGGTGATGATGCAATAATGACTCTTCCTTAATTACAGTATGAAGAGAGGAATTGTAAAATTATGAGAAAAATTGCCACGATCATCCAAGAATTTAAAATATCAGTGGAAGCAGGAAGCACGCCCTGGATGGGCACTCCTGGAAGAGATAGCATCTCCATGTGCCTAGAAGGAGACCTTTGCAATTCTTTTCTATGAATCATGTGACAAAGATGCACCAAGAACTGCTTCTTCCAGTGAAGGAGACGGACTTCCTGGTTTCAGAGGAAATGCATTTACAGTGTTTCTTTGCTTTTAGACATCCAGCCCAAGAGTTATGTTGTACTCAATCTTCGTATTTTTCTCTACCTTTTGTTTTTCTTTCGTCATTTTCGTTTTGAGAATAAGTATGTATGGGGCCTTCCCTGTACCCCAGAGATCACGTTGAATCAGATCTAGCTGTGGCTTCCAAGCCATTCTGGCCCAGAGGGGACTGTGACTTTGTGATTGTGTGTGCTCAGTACGTGGCACATAATCAGCTCCCAATGATAGCCAGTGTTCACTGAGTGCTTAGGCACCATGCTAAGTATTTTGTCTATTAGCTCATTTCAGCCCACTGTCCATAAAGTAGGTATAGCTTATCTTAGGTAAAACTGAGGCTTAGAGAGGTTAACAAGGAAACTTGCCTGAAGTTACATAGCTGACAAATGATGGAGTTGGCCCTCAAATCCACACTTGGAACCACCGCACCTGACTACTTCTCCAGAAGTATGTGTTAAATTAACAACTAAACGCTTGACATGAGAAGGATGTAGGCCAAGCCATGACAGAAGATTGCATCACAGTGATCAGAAGATATTTCATGGCAGATTCTGCTTGAGGCAGGACTTAATGAAAAAGAGTAATGCAGATCAGTAGATGTGAGAGAAGCCATTCCAGGCAGGAGTGAAGAGGTCAGGGTTGGCAAACACAGATGGCTTCGGTTTGTCAATTATGGTGTCTGTTCACTGCCTCCATGACCCTCTCCCACTCCACCATGGCTGATTTGATCAGGGGTGTTACGAACTGAACAATGTCTCTCTCCCAAATTCCTATGTTGAAGCCCTAACTCCCAGTACCTTGGAATGTAACTGTATTTGGAGATGGGACATTTAAAGAGGTAATTGCTTCAAAATGAAGCTTTATCCTTAAAGGATGGACCACATGGTGTTTGTGAGTCCTCTACATTCTGTGCTGTGTCTGTAAGGGTAACACCAGCTGCTGTAACAAATAAGCCTCACACTTCACCAGCTTATTATGAAAGAACTTTGCTTCTTGCTCATGCACTAGTCTGTGAGAGGATAGCTGGTATAGAGGACAGTTTTCTCTGTGTGGTGATTCGTGGACCCAGGTGCCCTCCATCCTGTGATTTCATATCCTTTAGAGCCTTAAAGTCCAACCAGCAGATGGGGAAGAGGAAGGTGGGAAAGACACACTTGTTCCTTGGTCATCTTGGCCTAGAAGTGATACATATCACTTCGGCTCACACTCCATGGGTGAGACCTGGTTTGTGTCTGTCCCTAGATGTCAGGGGGCCTGGAGAGTATGGCTTGGGATGAAAAGATCCTTACTTTATAGAAAGGGAACAGGAACACCTGGTGGAAAGCTGGCGGGTCCTCCCACGTGGTTGCAATTTAGTTCTGAGCTTGTCTCCAGCCTCAGCTCCCTGCAAACAGTTGCCTTGTTTACAAGAGAATCTGGAAGCCAGTGGTCCTGGTTTATTGCCTGTAATAATTTTTACAGCTAACCAAAGGGGCCATGGCTGCTGGGCGAAGCTCCGACAGTTCAGGGGAATGGTGTTCACAGCAGGGTCTTGAAAGGGCCAGCAGGAGCCCAGGAGAAACAGGAGCGTGACTCCTGAATTTGCAGCACAAGAAGGGGAGGAAGAGCTGAGCAGTCAGCAGTGTTCTGGAATGAGGAAGCAGGCTGTCTGCTTGCTTTCATTTCTTAGGTAAATATTTGTGGGAAGTTTGCCTTTTCTCTGAGTTTTTTGGTGCTGTGACAAGAACTGGGCAGAACATCAGCTCATCAGAAGCAGTGACATCCGAGAGCCAGAAGGAACCCGGAGAACAATTGCGAGAAGCGTCCTCTGCCAGCGGGTTGCCCACCGCGGCTGCACGAGGTACCTCCCCTCCAAGATGCTTCCCAAAACCACCAGGTGAGCTTTAAGGGGCAGATCTGAGGCAAGCCATGCTGGATAGCTGTGTGTTACCAGCAACTGTCTTCTTTGATGCTGGTGATTAATGAAAACCGGGAGAAAGGCATGTTTTAGCTAATTCATAGACAGCCTGGCATGGAGGAAATAACATAGATGGGTTGCTTGGTCAGTGAATAGATTTCTGTTCATCTTCAGTTCAGAGACAGAGTGGAGTGGGCAGAGCCCAGGTGTGTTGTTAGGGGGCCTGGGTTCAAATCCTGAAGTTTCCTCATTTCTGAATCAGGTGTGATACCCCTGCCTTACCTAAACCACAGCTTTGTGAAGATCCTAGAACAAGAATGTGAAAGGATTCGAGATCTGTAAAGTCCTGCCCTGAAGGCAGGAATTAAGAATCCTTATTCTAACCTTCAGATGTTTTAGATCCAAGAACTGAAAGCCTATTCCAAAATATAACAAAAAATCCAGCCATCATCTTCTGGTTTCACAGTATCTGTTTAGAAGTGTGGAGGACCAAAGAGGGAAATGAGCCATGAAAACAGCGACAGGAATAACAGGAGTTACTTGGAAAAGGAGACACCTGGAATCCCACCCACGGGAAGAGGGAGGGAGCCTGAGCGCAGTGGATGGAAAAGACCTGAGGCAGGGAATAGACCAGAGGGATGCCTTGTAGGACCAGTGGACAGGGAGCACTGGGGCAGCCAGAGGTGGGCAAGGCCTGGGACTGGAAGGCCTGAGAGCATTATTCCTTTCCCCTCTCTCCAGCTGGCCGTTTGGGCTGGGAGAAGAGAAAGGCTAAGAGGAGGATTTTTAGGAAGATCCCTCTGGTCACAGGGTAGAAAATGGGTGAGAGGGAAGAGCCCGGGCAGGAGGCTACTGAGAGAGTCCAGGTAAAGAGGACGGTGGCCTCGACAGAGGTGGTGGCTGTGGGGGTGGAGAGACATGTCTCGATTCGGCGAGGATTGGAGAGGAAGGAGTGGAGGATGACTCTGGGTCCCTGACTTGGATGAATGGTTTGGGGGTGGTGCCACTCCTGAGATGAGGATGCCAGGGGAGGAGCAGGAAGGTAGGATGTTCAGATGGGGCATGTGAGACTGGGTTGCCAGTGGGACCTCCAGAGACAGATAACCAGAAGGCTGACAATTGGCCCTGTGGTCTGGAATTAGAGGGACAGTCCAGCATGGACTCAGAGAACGTGGCCTACCCTTTGGTGCCAGCTGTGCCCCAGGGATCCTTAACTTTCTTTTGAAGTCAGCACCATGCCCCTGAGAGCCTATCCATCCCTCCCAGGGCCTCCTCTCTGTCGTGGTCCTCTTCCTGGGTATGGTTCAGCTGGTCAGGGCCCTTCTCACAGGGCAGGGTTCAGTCTGAGCATGTAGTTCAGATTTGTTTACCAGTGAGGGGTGGGAGGGGGTGTCACTGTCTCCTCCAAGGACCCCAAACATGAACCCTTTATCAATGCCTTAATGTCATTGTAGTGGCTGAATATGTTTCCCATTTGGAAAATATAAGACGGGTTCAAACTCCAGCTCTGCTACCTTCTAGCTAAGTGACTTTGGGTTTTTACTTAACCTCTCTAAAGCCTCGGTTTTCTCATCCATGAAATGGGAATACTAGTACATGTTACACAGGACATTAAGGGTTAAGTGAGACAATAACTACAAGAACCGTAGCCAAATGCCCAGCACATGGCACGCATTCAATAAGCAATGGCCATTATTATTGTTGTTATTTTTATTAAGTGAAAAGAAATGAAAATGAGTGTGGCTTCATTGGACAGTTAAAAAAGGAAGGGGGTAGAAAAGAAAAGATTTTGTCTTCTTCAACAACCTTCTTTTTTAATGGGAGTTCATTTTTGAAAAGAATTCTGCTTTCTCCATGGAATTCTTAAAGTGGTGTACAAGTGATCTGGCACAGAAGTTAGTTCTCAAAGCTTCGCTCGCCCCTGCTATTCTCTCGTCTTGATTCTGAGAGAGCCCAGACTTCCCTGACCCTAGGAGCTGAAAATTACATTGAAATCAGAATTTGGCAGGCAGAGAGTTCTTTTACGATCATTCAGATTGTTAGAGTTCAATGTCTGGCTCCCCCACTTGCTAGCTGTGTAAATTTGGACAACATTCTGGATCTTTTGGTGTCTCAATTTTCTCAGCTGTGAAATGGAGTGATAATGTGCCTTTCCCATAAGGCTATTGTGAGGATGAACTGAAGTAGTAAATATACTAAATGTTTAAAACATAGCCTGGCACATAGTAGACCCTTGAGGGACGTTAACTTTCCATTTACTCATTTAGGAAACATCAGTGAGTGTCAACTGTGGCCAGAGGTATGGACAGGAACGGGTACACGGAGTTGAATGAGAAGGGCCTCTGCCCTTGAGGAGCTGCCCATCCAGTGGCAGACACAGACCTATGAAAAGTTAGTTCCAAACAGTGGACTGGTGGCTGTGACACTGAGCCATGTTGCAAGCAGCCGATCCTGTCAATTCAGAAGTGAGCAAACTGAGACCCATGGGTCCCCTGAGCCTAAGGAGCCACAGCGCTTAGCAGCAGAGCTGGGATGGACTCAAAGCAGATTTTCCTGCCTGGGCCTCTTCACATGAGGGCTTCAAAGGAAGCTGGTGGCTCGGGAGGGCACCTGGGCCATGCTGGGCAAAGGTCCTGGCCTCTGGGTCAGTCTTCCTGCGGTAGGGAAGGGTAAGACTGGTCATGGGGCCAGGCGTGGGCAGCTGCTCTGGCTACTGGTTAACCAGGTGGGGGACTGCAATTTACTGTATGATCAGGGGCCCAAAGGCAGTGGAGTCCTTGGCACTTTAAGCCCTAGCAGAAGGCCAGTGATGCCAGCCCGGCTAAGCATGGCCATGTGTGGCACTGGACTAGGGCTGGGGGATGGAAGGCAGAGCCTGTAGGGAATGGGAGAGGTTGCTACTGCTTACCAGATACTCTGGGGACAGAGGAGCAGACAGGGTCCAGGCTCTGAGGAGGTAGAAACACAACCAGTGACAATCCCCTTTTAGTTCTGCGAAAGGGAAAATATCTTTATTTTGTCATTGCTGTCCAAAAGCAGGGAAAAAAATTGAGAAAAGAAGCACTACTCTTTGGGCCTGAAACCGGGCCAAGCACTCGATTCTCATTGTATCCCATCCACACAGTGCCCTGGAAGGCAGACGTTGAATCCATTTTCAGGACGAGAAGAGTAAGACCCAGAGAGGGGTGCAGCTCGCCCATAGTCACACAGCCTGAGCTTGGTGGAGCTGGGACTCACTCTCATGGTCTTCCTGGCTCCAAAGCACACGCGTTTCCACAGAGTCTGGCTGACTCAGCAAGATAGCAGAGTCGGCCTGGAAGGTACAGGGTTCCCACCCTTGAAAGTGCCCAAATGGAGCTTCAGGGCTGCCCTGTGGTGACAACAAGGTTAAATATTATCTTGTGGGAGAGTGGCGGAGAGTGCAGAGGCATTCACACTTCGCATGGGTGGATTCCAGCCTGTGATTCCATGGATAAGGGGCCAGGAGATAGCCATATGCAGGCCAAGTACACTCCGTTCAGAGTGTATGTCTTCCTGGCTCCCTGGCTCCTTCCCTGCCTCCCTCCCTCCCTGCCTCCCTCGTTTCCCTCTTTCCTTCCTCCCTCCCTCCCTCCCTGCCTCCCTCCCTTCCTTCCTTCCTTCCTCTCTGTTCTGTGCCATTGTTCTGAGTCTGTTTTTATGCCAATACCAGGCTGTTTTGGTTACTATAGCTTTGTATTAATAGTATATTTTAAAGTCAAATAGTGTGATGCCTCCAGGTTTACTCAGGATAGCTTTGGCTATTGGGAAATTTTTGCGATCCCATATACAGTTTAGAATTGTTTTTTATATTTTGGTGAAGAATATCATTGGTGTTTTGATAGAGATTGCATTAAATCTGTAGATTGCCTTGGGTATTTTATGACTATTTTAACAATATTCCTCCAATCTCTGAACATGGAACATTTTTGTATTTATTTTTGTCCTCTTTAATTTCTTTTACCAATGTTTTATAGTTTCCAGTGTAGAGATCTTTCACCTCCTTGGTTCGGTTTATTCCTATGTTTGTTTGTTTGTTTTTCTCTGTCTCTTTCTTTATTTTTCCCTCCCCTCCCCTCCCTTTCCCTCCCTTCCCTTCCCTTCCTTTCTTTTTTCCTTCCATGTATAGCAATGATATTTATTTTTGTATTTGGATTTTTCATCCTGCCATTTTATTGAATTCATTTATTAGTTCTAATAGTTTTTTTTGTGAGGTCCTTGAGATTTTCTAGTTACAGGTATAAGATTATGTCATCTGCATGTATGAACAATTTGACTTCCTCCTTTCCAATATGAATGCCTTTTATTTTTTCTCTTGCTTAATTGTTCTGGTCAGGACTTCCAGTACTATGTTGAATAGAAGTGGTGAAAGTGGGCATCCTTGTCTTATTCCTGATCTTAGAGGAAAAGCTTTCAGCTTTTCCCCATTCAGCATTATGTTAGCTGTGGGCTTGTCATACATGGCCTTTGTTGAATTGAGGTACATATATTCTGTGCCTAATTTGTTGAGAGTTTCTATTTTGAAGGGATATTGAATTTTGTCAAATACTTTTTCAGCATTTAATTAAGTGATCATATGGTTTTTGTCTTTCTGTTAATGTGATATTTCACATGTATTGAAATGCATTTGTTGAACCATCTTTGCGTGCCTGGGATAAATCTCACTTGATCATAATGAATGACATTTTTAATGTGCTGTTGAATTTGGTCTTCCAGTACCTTGTTAAGAATTTTTACATCTATGTTGGGATATT